GTTTACGTCCTCAGGGGCAACATCGGAACCCGACTCATTGGCTCCACGTCAGGCACACCGACGTTAGTCGATGAACCCCCCTCAGCGGGGCGCACCGAACTAACCCCTGGGCTGACTCTTTCCTCATGTGCTGGCCTCCCCGATCGGATAGCATCGGCCATAAACATGGGCGCCGGGGCCGCCCGAGATGTTCCACCATCGTCGGCTTCAGTAGCCACCCCTTTTCCCATCTCTAGTCTTCTCCTTTTTCTTTCCGGCGGCTCCTCACCATGAGAAGATTCGTCGGCGGGTTGTGGGGCCGATGTCAACAAAGTCGGCTCCCATATAGCCACAGCCGTGGGCGTGGCTCCCTGATGGGGTGTAAGAGAACGACCCTCCCGAACAGACTCGCATAGAATATCTCGAGCGTCCGCAGCTGTAGTAGGACGTACAGAAGCAGGGACTGTCGCCTTCTTCCTAGAAGCACCTCGACCTATGACCACAAAATCACGGTTAGGAAAGGCCGTCTAACCGACAAAGCAAAATCAGAAGTTTACCTGAAGAAACTTGAGGGACATAACGTTGTATGAATGCAGGCCAAGTTCGGGTTTCCTCCGCGTGAGGAAGCAAGCTGGCGACCCAGCTCCTTAGACCGGCAACGGGCTGGGGCGGACGGGCCATGGCTGTAATATAAAAGTTAGAACTGCGATAACAACATGCAAAAGAGAACTTGATGAACTACAGCACTTACGTGTTTTGTTCCATCTTTCTGGAAATCCGGTAGGGTTGGAGACCATATGCTCGGTCCTGACAAAGAAATATTTGTGCCAGAATTTACGGCTTGGCCGGTCGTCGTTTCCAACCACCAACCCCTTTGTACCACGAATCCTTAAGTGCACCATGGTCCCTCTAAGGAAACCGGCTGTAAATAAGTGCAAGAGATGATGAACGGAGATGTCACATCCGGCCAAAGCTGCATATTTAGTCAGTAGCAGAAGCACCTTAAGCGTGTACGGCGTGAGCTGAGCCGGGCATATGTGATAGAATCTGCAGAATTCCTCTGCCAAAGGAAAAAAGGGAAGACCGTAGCCTATCAAGAAGGGGTACTCGTAGAAGGCACAATAGCTCGGCCTGTGAACGTCAACGTGATCCTCCCCCGCTGGAATCATCTCTACGTAAGCTGGAATGCCGTATTTTGCGCGGAGGTCGTCCAAGTGGTTCTGTCCCGTCTCAGAACGCACCGGAACCAGAACTGCGAAATCCTTATTGAAATCACACCGAGGCGAAGAGTGCCTCGGCAACAAAGCTTCTACCGTCAGAGGACTGACATCCTCTTCCACTTCCACCTCCCCGCTATCGGAGGAGGGAAGCACATTCAACGGAGCTACCTCGGGAACCCTTTCTTTGGTACGGCGAGATTTGGGCATATTTTCGTTCGAAAAAGATCACGCGAAAAGAAATGAGGAAGAAGAAAAATCCCTGGACAAGAACGAAATGTGCAGGAACGCGAAAATCAATAGAGGAGGGCTGGGAAAGTTCTCAGGAATGACCAAAGTTCTTCAACAAAATTAAACCCTTCCCCTATTTATAAGGTTGGGTGGCGCCAGAATCGAGGCGTCAGATTTCAAATCGGCGCGGGAAACTAAGTGCCAAAGCGTCCGTTCTCTTCTGCCTCGAGAATACGCGTAATGATGACACATGCGGATGCTGACGCCACCCAAGGCAAAGTGTTTTACTTCAACGTTCTAACAGGAATGATTGCCGTCTCCCACCAGTCACGTCGAATCAAGTCAACAAGTCAAACTCTCCCTGACGGAAACGTTGATTCCGCCCATCGAGGACGGATCTCGTTGCGACCCCGACGGGCGGAGGGACTAACTGTATGGGGTCGAATTTGACCAATCACGTCCTACCGTCAACATGACCAACCACTGAATGTTTACGATACAATACGAAGGAACGACCCAAGGGTAAGAGGAGGAACGACCTCGACCTGTCATCGGCTCCGCCATAGAGTACACTGATTTTGTCGTTCTCATGACTCAGCTTAGATCCCCCATTATATAAAGGGGATCCGAGCCTTGTAATAGAAAAAACTAGGAATAGAAAAAGTTGATTCTCTCTCTCTCTGATCTTTATCATTCTCTCTCTTTTATCATTATTACTGTCCAGATTATTGAAAGAATCTTAGGGTTTATTATTTTCAACTACGATATACCCCTTCATCTCTTTGATTGATTTGCTTAAAAAGAGCTTAACATCTTTTGAGTCAAACAATAGGTAAATCGGTTGATTCATTTATTTTTAGTTTGACTTTAAATATGCTAAAATCATATAAATAGTACCATAAATTATATTTTTCTGATATCAAAAAGATAAATAATACGTTTTATAATGTTATTTAATATTCGCTTAATTTTAATCATAGGAATAAGAATTACCATGCACATATGATATGTGTAACGCCATTTTGTAAGCTTGACCTAATTGTGCAGCATTTTGAAGACTTACATGGTTAATACCATGAGCTTGCAATCACTGTTTTGCTTACTTCCTAACAACAATCTACCGATTTCTCAACCTAAATTTTCTATTTATTCAAAAGTATATAAATATTACTCAACTGTTAATAACACATTGTAAACACTAACTAGAAACACGAAAATCTAAATATAAATAGTACCATATAAAATGAATGATAATATAGAGACAATAGCAACCTACCTAAAGATCCATTATAAACGAACCATGTCACTAAATAAATAAAAGTAAATTATGTGACATCAGACACGAGTGAATTTCTAATCTTTTTGCCTTTTGGTCCGCTCTCTTTTTTCTTTTTTTTTTGGCATTGTACTATAGAAGACAGATTTGGCGTTTATATACTTTCATTTCATGCATGTCTTTTTCCTGTTTATGAGCTATATAATTTATAAGACAATCTCAATAACATTTAAAATCATGAAAAATTATTAGTGATGATCATTACGCGTTAAGTTCACATGCAAAAATAAAGTGTGGTAGTAATAACAAGCTGGATATACTAATGAATAATGATGGTTTGGCCATTATTGATTGATTGTATAATTATCCTTCATTATGGCTATAGGCCGGCCCTCGAAATATTTGCTTTTCACCAAATTTTCAACTTAATGAACTGCTAACCATGTACTTGATAATAAGATTTTGTTTGCTTTTAAGTCATTCCTATTCGTCTCTGAGATTGTTAGCCATATAGTTAAGTATGGTATACTACTGTCAGTGAATTAAAGTGTTATTATACATTCCTTCTACTATACGTATAATTGTTGGATTTCTACAACTACTTTCTACAAAGTTTTTGGATATCTTCAGGCATGGAAAGATGCATATAATTTTATACCGAGAGACAAAATATGTAATTGTAGACAGGAAAAGACTATTTGAATGTCGGTTTTAACGAGCATGTGCTTTCATTAGAACATCTCCAACCCTCCCCCGTTTCTTTATAATGGGGGCAACTTTTACCATAATGGAGCTCAAACCCTCCTCCATTTTTGCCTCCAAAATGGGGGATGAATAGTGCTCCTCCATATATGGGGGGACACTATTCATCTCCCCCATTACTATTCATACATATTTATTATTATTTTATTATTTAACTCTTTTAATTTATCACTTTATATATACCTAATTATGTTTATGTAATATCTTTATAATATTAATTTTACATCTTAACTTCGGCGTATAATTTTGATAAATTAATTTTTCGTGCATTTATTGTTTTTATGGAAAATTAGTTAATTTCATTATAAGTTATAATTGTACAAAAAATATATAATCATCTCAAAAAATGAATGGTGCAAATATAAAATATTAGATGTTGCTAAAATTGAAAGGTGTAAATATAAAATATTAGATGTTGCTAAAATTGAAAAGTGAAAATTAAAAATACATTAAAATTGGAAATACATGAAAATTGAAAATACATTAAATTAAAATACATTAAATTAAAATACATAAAAATTGAAACTACGATAAATAGCATAATAACTTAGTAGGGAGGTATGCCGTTTCCAGATACACCAAAATTATTATAGTATTTTGCACTTCGTAAAGCATTAATAGATCATTTATGGGAGAATACTAGAGGTTGAAGTTGAATATCTATGTAGTATTTCGAATGAATTTTATCGTTATGTAATATGTATTTAATTAATCTTGTATTGCAACGATTTCACTTTTATTTGAATTAATAGTTAATTTATAATAATTGCTTACAAATTATATTATTTAAATTTATGGAATTATTTTAATGGAAATTACAAATTAATGAAAATAAAAGATGGAAGAAATTAAAAAAATAAAATTGAAATAAAAGATAATAATATAATATAGAAGAGGGAGAAAAATATAAAAAAAGAATATTCTCTTTTGGGGGAAAAAATGGGGGAATAGTTGGATTAAGTTGTCCCCAAACGAGGAATTTTGGGTACCAAAAATAGGGTAAAGGTTGGAGATGCCCTTAGAAATCTGTATAGTGTCTGTTTCCCCTGTTCAACTAATTANTAACGCATACTCCAATATTATTTACTCCAAGGGCAATATAGGAAAAAAGTAATTAATTCATTCTTGAAATCTGAAAAATCACTTATTTTCGACCACAAATAAAAGGCCAAAAAATCAGTTAGTGTGGACCGGAGGGAGTACCATAGTGTACTGTAACTACACTATTGCCTTTATTTTCGAACTCTCACTTTATATATATATATATATTATATATATATATATACTATATATATATATATATAAAGTTTAAATACTGTAATTCAGCGACTCTAATTCAGAGACAGTATCTTTGCTTTTCTCACGCTGTGCGTGTCATAGGTATGTTATACTTATATGGATTCACGTGCGCTCTTCAATGAGTATTTTGTCGGTCAATTTTACTTTTTGCCCAAATCCAAAAACCTAAAAGAAAAGGCTTAGCGTCCTACTAGTAGTAGTATTAAAAGTTTATTGGACAAAGCCATCTTTTAAATTGTCTCCTTTTTCTTCCATTCTTCAACTCAACCAAATTCCACATTTTCCTATTCTCTTGACAATATCTTTCTCTCTCTCTAATGGAGTTAGCTTTGAGCTTAGGAGGGGATACCCAAAAACCATTTTCCTTTCTTGAAAAATCTACTAATAATTCTTCATCACATGATCTAAGATTCTGCATGGGTTTAGGAAAGAGCAATAATACTCATGAAAATGAAAATAATGGAGGAAGAAAAATATTGCATCTTGATCTTCTGCCTCTTTCTGCAGTTCCCCTCAATCAAATGCCTTCACAGATTCCTTTCCCTTGGCTCTCTCAAAATAGTAAGTTCTTTTCACACCCCACCCTCTTCTTCTCCTTCATCAATAGCAAAAGCAAAATTTTCATCAAAGGAATTCAAAAAATTGAAAAAGTAAACACGCAAAAAAGTTAAGCGAATATTCAACACCTTATGTATATACATGGAAAAAAAAAAATTAACCTCATATATGTAATATAATTTTCAACGAAGGAGTTTCCGCTGAACCCCTTCTGCCCACCATGCTCGACTCTATTGTACTCTTGTGATTTGTTTCTCTTTTTTCTTTTTCTTTTTTTAGTTTTTGTGTTTGTGGGGAAGCCGGGAATTAAGAGAAGGATATATAGGGAGTTATATAATTTGTGTTGATAATCTTGACTATCCTTATCTGAAAAAATAATATTTTCTTTAACTAGCGATTAACCAAATAATGAATACCTAGTGTAAATTTTAATTAGTTAGGCTAGTGAATCTCTGATACATACACTAAAGCATAAAACCAAACATACAACAACAAAAAAAAACTCCGAAGGGTAATTTTTTTCTATTAATTGTGTAAAGATTTGTGCATATCTGATGTTTGTTACTGGCTTGTTTTAGTAGCAGCTGAACCGGGTTTAACAAATGGAGCGGCAGGAAAGGTGTTGGACATGAACCGGCGGCCAATAATAGTGGCAGAGGAGGCTGAAGAAGGAGCAGACCTCTCATCTCCGAACAGCAATAGCGCAGTCTCAAGTTTTCAGATGGAATTTTCATCAATATACAGAAATGGAATCAGCAGATCATTAATAGGAAAGAGAGATCATTCTGAAGGAGGAGTTAGTGATGAAGATGAAAATAATAATGGTTTAGCTAGAAAAAAACTGAGACTTACTAAAGAACAATCTGCTTTTCTTGAAGAAAGTTTCAAAGAACATAACACTCTCAATCCTGTAAGTCAATCTTTATCATTATCAAATCTTTTGTTGGTCAAAAAGGAAAGAAATCTTTTTGAGCTAAACCCTTAACAACCAAGTTGATCAAGAGATTTGTTCCGTCTTAGAAGAGTATATCAATAAAATATTTGGTAAAAAGTTACTCTCCGTTAAATAATATTTGTATGAGTATAAGATTTTTAAAATTTATGATATTAAATATTTCATATTGTGTGCCTACAAAAGCTTGGGTAAGATGAATAATTTAATTTTAAAAGGGGCTAACAAAAAATATTATAAACTGGACCAAAGGAAGTAACAAATTACATTAGCAAAAGATTGATGTTTGATATTAATACCCTCTCCTCACTTATATGGCACTATTACTATGCGGAGACAGAGGGTCTATTGGAAACGGCCTCTCTATCTTCATAAGGTAGGGATAAGCTCTGCATACACGCTACCTTCTCCAGACCCTACGATGTGGGATAATACTGTGTATGTTGTTGTTGTTATTACTATGTGGAGAATCAAAGATATTTTTACCACAATTTCTTAAATATTTGTTAAAAATTTTAAATTTATCACTTACAATATATTTATGTAGTCTTTAAATATGGAAAGGAGGAATATTTTTACCGAGTAGTATTTATCTAGTTTTTTAATAATTATGTATTTATTTTTTTCCTAATTTATGAAAGTATACGTACAGTACTGATATTGTTCTCAATTTGAAAAGAATTTGAACATTTTGCAGAAACAGAAGCTTGCTCTGGCAAAGCAATTAAAACTTCGTCCTAGACAAGTAGAAGTTTGGTTCCAAAACAGAAGAGCGAGGTAAGCATTTAATTTCATACTATCCAATTTAAAAGGAAATTTTCTTGTTAATATTAGAAGTAAATTTTACTACTAGTAATTATTGTATTATTAATTGGTGCATTTATAAATTCAATAATGGCAGGACGAAATTGAAGCAGACAGAACTAGATTGTGAATATTTAAAAAGATGTTGTGAGACACTGACAGAAGAGAATAGGAGGCTACAAAAAGAGCTTCAAGAATTAAGAGCTTTGAAATTTTCCCAACCTTTGTACATGCAACTTCCTGCCACCACTCTCACTATGTGTCCGTCTTGTGAGCGCGTCGCCACCACCACCGCCGCGGCCGTCCCTACAGCCGCTGCCACGGCCACGGCCGATGCCGACGCCACGAACACGACGCTTTCTTTGGCAAAGCCCAATCTCTTCCCATTTCCACCTGCACAAGTTCATGCTCCTCAGGCTGCTTCATAAGTTTGCAAGTTTAGTGACCCATAGTTAGTTTTGTACATAATTCGGATTTTGACATAGGTCATGATTCTTGGTTGTGATTTGCCACTAATGATTCTTTTTTATTTTCTTTAATTAATTATACTCTACTGTTTACGGTGAGCTTTGAACTAAGGATGAAGTTTGAGAAAGTGTAGTTTGACTAGGAATTTAGATGATAAGGAAAAAGACTTGTTGTATTGCTTGATATAGTTTTTTGGAGAAGTTGTGGGAAAAAGAAGTTATATTTGCATTAGTATTTTTTTTTTTTTTCATATTGTTAATTAGTCCAAACTATCATATAGGTTTTGTTTAAGCTGTGTGCGCCATTTTCTTGCAAAAATATAATTTGTGATGATTCTAATTTTGGGACATGATCTACTATAGATACTGTTTGAAAGTTGAATTAAATTACTAATATCCTTAGTTGTAGGATTTATTCAGCATTTTATTTTACAGTATCAAACAGGTGGGCAACATTACTGCTGAAATAAAGGACGTGTTAAAAGGCATTTCACAAAGATGTTAAAATCACATCTGCCTCGCTTTGTTTACTCATAATTAAATACAGTAAATCAGAAAATAAAATGACTATTTGATCACATAAATCTGAATTACTTATTTTCTCAAGTATATGATAGATGTTAGCTCTTTCATCGGTCTGTTAAATTAGAGATCAATATTCGGGAACACATACTATATAGATAAAAGATCATGTTTATTATCGGAAAACAAGTTAGATTTCTCAAAAACCATGATAATAATTTTTTCTTGAAAGAAAATGCTTTCCGGATAATAAATGTCATAGCAAGGAAAATGAGGACTCTACACCATTAATATGAAGGTACTTATATTTACGATTACCTCACAAGTTGCGGATGATCAACATAAATGTATGAAACTTTTAGGAAAACAAATTATACTTTTATAAATCTATGCTTGTCGCTGTAAATCTTGAAAAGAAATTACTTAGCACAATAAATGGCATAGCATGGAGAATAAGGATTCTAAAAGGTACAAGATACAGTTTCTCAGAGATCAGAAAATTCAGGAGAGTTTTGCATCTATACAATTAATATTAGGGTATTTATATTTATTATTATTACTTCACAAGTTATGGCTGAAGTTCAACATAAATGCAAGTTCAAATTTATTCCTAGTCTGAAATCATTGAAAGGCGGATGAGCAAATAAATCCTTATCCCACCTCCAGGCTCCCCACATAAAATAAAATTAAAGAATAGAAGAAAAATTGTTAATAAGAAACTTACACGATTTAGAATTAATGAGTTTCGAATGGGTGCGATTTTATAATATTTCTGGATACACACACACACATACATATATATATATATATATATATATATATATATATATATATATATATATATATATATATATATATATATATATATATATATAT